GAAATTTATTAAATCCAAAACTGTTCGTAGTACAAGTTAAAAATATAATCTAGATATTACTTTAAGCGAAAAGAATAATATTAAAAAATGCGCTGCTCATTAAACTGATGCTAAAAATTACGCGACGCAAAATTGACGAGGCTAACTCGACGATGCAATTTTACAGTGTAGCCTTTGGTATAGGATCCGGAGACGAACCGAAACATCGAGTTCATCGATACCCATGAATATTGATCGGTCGCCGATTAGAACGCCTCCTCGCCCGAGGCGAGGGATCGTCTATGCGATTCGAGAAAGAAAAAGTTCGACGAGAGGTAACGAGCGATGGCGTGTTTCTTACAAATCTTTTTACAGCGCGTTCAACAGGACCGCGTTAATTGGACGAAGTGATGGCGAAAATAACAGATTGAACGTGTCGAGTGCATAATTTTGCGAAATACAAGTGAAACGAAAGGGATAGTTGAAATGAAATAACAAAATGTTTCCTCCGACGCGAACTTTAAAGTATAAATATAATAGACTTAGCTGCGTAAAACGTTATCGTTTAGCTTTATTCATCTCGCGAAAGTGATACTTGTGCATCGTTCTTATGGTAATCTCTTTCCTTTCTTTGCGGGAAGAAACAGATTTAGCCGCGTAAGGGTTCAATTATGTTCTTTCACAAAGGCAAAAAAAAACTCTTCAACATAAAAGCGCGATCGTAATTGTGGGTTTTCTTTGCGTATCATCTTTCACGATTTTAACTTGAGTCGACAAATTAATCTTGGAAAGAGAGGAAAAGGAAGAAAGAGAGGGAGAGGGGGAGAGAGAGAGAGAGAGAGATTGCATTTAAAAAATATGTTTCAGTTCTATGATATAAAATTATCTCAATATTTGTGTAAAAGCCACTTTTATTTCTCTTCGCGTTGCGTTATTTTTTCACATCCTTTATTTACGGCGATACGATAATTGAAAATGTAATCTAGAAAAGATAACAGTTTACATTATGCTCGCCTTATAAAGCACTCAATAACTGCCACCGATTCGATATTTATTATCAATAAAATGTATCTTCTCATTGAAAAATATATATTCCCGTGAAAAGTTGCAACTTCTTGAATAATCACTTCGATAAATAGCTCCTTTCTCATTTAACATTTATATGTAAAGCATGTTTAAAAATATTAGAGTATGTACTTTGTATTACTACTTTCGAACAAATTGCTTTTACGTGCGCACGTTTCACTGAAATTATTCCTCTCTTTCTCTTCTCTCTCTCTCTCTCTCTCTCTCTCTCTCTCTTTCTCTCTTTCTTTCTCTCTCCCTTTCTCCTTTCCTCGTTCAAGCTGCTATGCGCAAGTCATATAACAAATCCATACTTATTCAATACGATAGCATGAGAACCATTAATGAGAGTTTTTAAATTATTAAATAATCTCGAAATACTCCACCGATAGTTTCTGCATTTAAAGCCGTAATAAAAGAAGAAAATTTACACTAGGCAAATGACATTATTGCGATTCTCGTGTGCGTCGTTTCGTTCCATCACTTTCTCCGAGACCAATGGTTGTTAGATTCATGAAATGCTCGAAATACACACTTTGCAGTTCTTACACGTGGAAATATATGTACACGTGAGTGTATAGCCGGCGATATAAGGTCAGGCGATAAGACCATTTCACTACAATGCTATCGTCGTCCTAACCGTTTTCGTAGGTAGGTAGGTAGGTAGGCTAGCACACGACGACTTGTGTAAATGATCTTCACGTACGATTGCTTCGCCGGCGAAGTAGGTGATAATAACGAGTACTCTATATAAATGGCAATTTTAACTACATTATTGTTGACCCTCTATCACACGGCAAAAACAGTTTTACTGAGGTATATGAAAATTTAACTAGATACAAATCTGAAAACTTTGTCATAGTTAGACCATTAAAATAATTATGACTGTGTTTCGATATACACTGCTAGTACTGAAAATCTATAATTCACGTTACGTATACTATAGATTTTCAGCATTGGCAGTGTATACGAAACACGGCCTACGGAGGATGTTTAAACTAATTGTTGAAATGTAAAAACTTTTTGCAATACTGCTCGTTTATTTTGGCCTCCTACATAATAATTTTAATAGTCTAAAAATATTATTTTCAGATCTGTATCTAGCTAAATTTTTAGATGCTTTAGCAAAAAAAGCTTTTTTGTTCTTTTCATGCACTTATTTCGTGAAACAAGTCCAAACGTTAAGATTTAATAACCTAATATATTCAAGAATTTTACTTTTCTATTGTTACTTGATTTTTAGAAATAATTTATAGAACGTATTAATATATATATATATATAATTAAAAAATTTTCATTAGTTTACTTACTATATATGCTTTAAATATTATTTCAGTATTATTTTTTTTATTTATTTTACCCTATTTAGAAGTAACAGTTTATATTAAAATGTTATCTGACGTAATAGCTATTTTATTAAATATTCCGTCAAACAAGTAATACACTTTATTAATTTTCAATTTTATTTCCCGAATGCAAAACACTCGAATGAGGTCTGAATACGTCGATGCACTGATTTACACGGTGATAGGAAACGACCGATCAATAACGAGCACAAAAATTGTTTCTGCCAACTAATACATGCATACATGAGATGGTGTGTTCGCGGCCCAAGTAATTAATTCATGGACGCGAGATAAAAATGGTTTATTAAATGCCACCCCGAATGATTTGTCGCTGGCATTCGGCCCGAGAACTTCGGTTGATGCGGTTAACGCGATGAACTGACCGAATTGTTGCAAGTCCCATATTAAATTACACGGCATGGCGAGGAAATAGGCAAATTGAGAGAGAAATGGCTTATTTTATTTTGACCGCGGGTCGAATTGCATTAGGTATAATAATACCTATCTCGCAATTTTTAACACGGCTTGTAAACTGGTAACCTAATACAGATTACATTATTACAATACACTGATTAAGTTACAAGCAAATTGCGACGTGCTAAAAAAACAATTTTGTCAATTTTTATTATTTCCATAACTAGTTTTATTTTTTCAGCGCAAACTTGATTATAATTTATACAAATTCAAATGGAAATTCGATCGAGTTATGTGAATTTTCATCATTGCACTATTATTTAACATTAAAGCACATTTAATTATCATTAGGATTTATTATAAATTAATAATTTCATTATTTAGCTACATAATATTTTATTAAATTATAATCTCTATAGTCAGGGATGGGAAGTACTGCTTTACTTGTAACGCCATTACCATTATCGTTGTTTTTTTTTTGTAATGATCGTTATTTTCTTCTGTTGTAATAATAACATCGTTATATTTTTATAGTAACAGTATTGAATTCAGCTGTTATTTTTATCGTTACTTAAATCCCTAATTATAATGTTCGATACGGATTTTAAACTATGAACGAGACCCGATGCGATTTCTTTAAATTCTTTATCTCTAAAAATAAATCTGTACTGAAATTGCTCACGTCATGTTTTTGAGAAAATTAAATTTAAAAGTATCGAAAATAGCATTTTTGGTACTTCTGAGTTAAAATATCTCAGTAATGTAACGTGATAAAACAATTTTATTTACGGATCTTCAGCAATAAAAATCCTCTAGTGTCACCTGCTTTTATTGATTGCATTATACAAGAAACAATAGTTACAATGAAAAGAAAAGGACTTAAATCCGTAGATAAATATAATCCTTTGAGGACAATTTAAATCACCTGCACGTAATGGTTTGTGAGATCGTTGATTATAAATCTGAAATCGAAATTATCACATATAATTTGTTTAACAATTATTATTTAAATTAATAAAAATTTAGTTGAATGAAAATAATAGCACTATTGGATTCTACTGAAAAAATTTATATAAATAATGCATTATTTTTCCATTTGTTATAAAAAAAAACGACAAGTGATTATTAAAATTACATGAGCAATCCTCAAAAAGTTATATTTATCTATGAATTTAAGTTCCCTTCTTTTCATTATGGCTGTTTCTTTTTGTTTAAAACGGCCAATAAGATAAGTGACTTTTATAGATTTTTTTGTTGCTGAAAATGAATCCATAAATAAAATTGCTCTAACATGTTACATTTCTGAAATAATTTAGCTCAAATGTATCAAAAAATGCAATTTTCGACAAATTTAAGTTCAATTTTCTTAAAAATATGACGTAATAGAGCAATTTAATTTACGGATTCGTATTCAGTGACAAAAAATCTGTAAGTCTATGACTAATTGATCATAAACTCCTATTCGTGATAAAAAAAAAAAAGTTTAAATTTGTCGGATAGTGTTATTTTTATATCTATTCGGATAGTGTTATTTTTATATCTATTCAATAGAATACATTATTTTATTAAAACACATTCTCAATAACGATATTGTTTATAAAAAAAACAATGTTTAATAAAAATTTTTAATAATTTCTATGCGTATTTGTAGATGCAATCTAAATTTCTAAAGATAAATATACATTAAAAAATAAAAACAATATAAAAAATTACAGAAGCTTATTAAATAAATATAACATACATTTAAATATATGCTCGCTGTACAGAAAGTTCCGAATTTCAAGTTTCAATATTGATTGTTACAATTAATATTTATTATTAAATAATGTCATTTTTCAACCTAATATTATTTATTTTAACATTATAAAAATTTTAACAAAAAAAATAAAGCATTACTTTTTAAATAATGATAAAAAAATAAAGAGTAAAAATTAGCGGTCTAGTGTAATATATAGAAGTCTGTGGTTTAATTAATCATCGTTACAGTCATAAAAAATTACGATATCATTATCAAATTGTTATTATAAAAATTGTTACTATAAAAATAACGGAAAAGTAGCTCTTCTACTCCCTGATAGATATAAAAAAATGTATTTATATCGTATATATGTGTTTATATATACAATTTTTCATACAATATATACAATTTTCCAAAATATTAATATATAATCTAGATTATCACATTTTTTGTTGTAGAAGAGCCATCCTGACAAATCCCGACCTGCTGGCGAGCACACCTTGGTACCGATTGTTCGAGAATGACTTCTGGGGAACACCGCTGACGGAACGTGGCTCACATGGAAGCTATCGACCGCTCTGTGTGGCCACCTTTCGTCTGAACCATTTTCTAGGTGGTCTCGAACCCTGGGGCTACCATCTGGTGAACGTGGCATTACACGCCGCCTGTACCGTTCTCGTGGTCAAGGTCGCCAGAAAGGTGAGTGTTTGCTTCCGCAAGATATTATCTCGCGAAGCAAAATAAACGCATTATGTGACGATTAAATCACGGTGGAATAAAAAAGATTTCATTACGTTAAACAAGAAAATGATTATATCAACTAATTGTAAGAGAAGCACACCAACCACGATTAGAATTAGATGTTGAAATAATATTTCTATATGTATTTTAAATATTTATTTTAGATATATTTATAATTATATATTTATAATTTATTTTAGATATATGATTGCGCGTCGATTATTTTCGGATAATATAATCAACTATGAAATAATAATTTTGTAAATTAAATTTATTGTCGATTTAAAATGCTGCTAGCATCTTAAATCTGTGAAAAAACATTATATATATATACTTCAGCCGTGATAGAAAATTGATAAGAAAACGAGTATCGTAACATTCGTAACAAATAGCATACTCTCTAATGCTGATTTTACAATAATGAGTCGGTAGTCGTAAATTTTATCGGTGAAATTGACCAATAGCCAACTTGTACGACTAACGCTGATTAGACAACTTCATTGATTAAGACTAAGACTTCCGACTATTGACTCATTGTAGAATCAGCACTAAACTAAATCAGTGTATTCTTATCGACTTCCGTGTTACACTTAGAATCGTTATACACTGATATATCATCAACGAATATTTACTTTTAGAGATTATGATTTTCTGCAGATTCACTTGTAGAGAATCCTAATCCCTAAAAGTGAAGAGTGTATTATTATTACTAAAAAACAAAACAATAAATATTTACTAATACATCCGTTATAAGTGTGGCACTGAAGTCACTGATTTACTTTTAGAGAATATATTTACGCTAAGATGATAGAAATAAACTAACGATGACACCTAGATATATCTAGTGATGTAGTGTGATTATAAAAAGAATTAAAATCCTAAAAGTTCCTCCGATGCTGAAATATGCTGTATTCCTCTTTCAATTCATTAAAGCTACCAATGGGTCTGTTGGACCAATTATATTCTTCACATCTGCAAATTTTAATTATTGTTATTAAAATAAATTTAGTATTTATAATTTTTTATTTTAGTTATGTCATTTTGATCTCTTCAAATTAATGAGCCTTTTAATAAAAAATTAAATGAATCTCCGGTATCGGTAACAGTATTACAGATTTTGACGTCAGCTTTATAAGATTAATATTGTATAAAAATATCGCGAAAGATTAATGTATAGTTTGAAATCCATTTAGAATTCGTCAATATTCAACAAAAGTTAATTGCTAATTAATTTTATCTCTACATCACTTTTGCTTTATTTCGTATAAATTGTCCTTGTTATTTGCCATTTAAGAAAGCAATACCGACAATTAATCAAGATTTAGACATCTACTATCGGTAGACTTAATTCTTCTACCATCAATTATACTTTATTGCACGACACTAATTTGCACGATTTAATCGGGGGAGATTAAGAGGAACGCAATTCGCTTCGCAGTAAAAGTCGCGTTATGAATACATCTAATTATTAAGTAATCATAGGTTCGTTTTATATCCGAAATAAATCCGCTGAGATCCTTCTTATTTCATCTGCACGGAAGCACATCTTTAGAAGATCGTCGACGGCAGAATTCAAATAACGAGGGAGAACCCGCTTAACTTTACCATAAGCCTGCTGCACGGTTTTAATTTTACGACGTCACTTCGTTTTAGTTAGCTTAGAATCTCTCTTATTCCGAAAAGGGCGATAGGGCGCGATCATGAAAGGGAAGTGTAATGGCGATTCGGCGTACGCGAACATCTCAAATAACAATTTCCGCATACATCGAAGAGTCAAAAGAACCGCAACAAGGTCCTATCATTCTAATGAGACTTTAATTTTACATCACCTCTTTCGATCGCTATGTTTAACTTGGCGAGTATTTAACTTTGACAGTATTTAACTTTGTTTTAATGACGTTTTAAGGAGTTATGCAAAGAACAATTTAATTATATGTGCAATAAATTATGCCAAGTTCAATTAAAAATAATTTAAATCAATTTAATTATATGTGAAAATATATAACAAGAAGGGAAAGAAAGACTTGACTTTAATAGTCAAGCTGAATCGTAAGCGCTTAATAATACTGTGTGAATTTAAAGCATAAATTCGAATAAATCCGCACACACACTGCAGAGAAGTGCTCATATTTTTTCAAATGTACGTAGAATATTCATATTTGGCACAAAGTTAGCTAATAGGTATGCATGAAAGATGGCGTGGTCAAAGAGAATTTACGATTTAATTGGAAAAATATCGGTCTTACTTACTACTAGACGTGCTAAGGTTCTAGATATACAAAAGTAGTGCAATCCTTTTATCTGAAATGCCAAACACTTTCCTATTGGCTATTTAGACTTAGTGGCCTGTAATCGAATAAGCGCTTAGTATTATTGATATATGATATTGGTATATGATAGTTAATAAGTTGAAAATGGAGGACCTTTGCGCTACTTTGGAAGCATCTTGTCTGGTTCAAAATAATAAAAAAAAATATTTTCTTGTTTCGTTATTAAGTGATTATCATATATTTTAATATCATCATTACTCACATTAGCAGACAGATTATTTTCTCAAGAAACGGCTAAAACATCGCTTATATATTATTTAAGATCAACTTACATTTTTTAATTTTGCCATGATATCTCACAAACAAAAATAGATACTAATAAATTTTTTTTAAATATATATTTTAAAAATATCTACAATTTAAATTTAACAAAAATTTTAAAAGAACTATTTTCTAAATTTTAAATTAATAAAATTATCATAATTTTAAAAAAATCGTTTTTTATTATTTTTTGAACTTTTTTAAGTATTACATGCTTTAAGAGTACTGAGTTTTTTTCCAATTGACGTATTTGACAATGATATCGATGTAATATTTGATATTCAGATTAATGAGCAATATTTTTACAAGTATTTGCTTTGCAACGTGACAAATTGTTAACGTGATTTTCCAATTTGTCTCACGTGAATTTTTTTCTTTTTGCGAATGTGTTGAATTTCGTATCGCTGGTATATATATCAAAAGCACAGAAAGCGCTTCCTTATTATCATATTGGATTCCCGATTATGGTAATAATAATTGGTAATACCAATTTTATTAGATATTTCACGCGAAATAATTCCCTCAGTTAAGAATAAACGTTATATGTGGCCAACCTACTGATTCGTGATTGGATATAATACAAGTACTTAACACATTTCTTGGAATCATGAAAATAAGCAATAATATCCAAGTTGCGTACCGTTTTATAAATTCATTAACAACTCAAATCGTTTTAGCGCGTTATTATGAGCGTGAGGAAATGGCAAGTACGAGGAACCGCGTTAATTTAATACACACAGCACTTTCTCGTGTAATGAAACTGTCGCGCTAATTAACTGCGTCTAAGTGTATTAATGAAAGTACTTCTCGTACTTCGAGAACAGCGTTTTGAGTTATGCATGCTGTTAATATCTCTAGTAAGACGCTTCGCCGCGAGATGTTTCCTTGGTCTCGATTCCGATCGGTTTTCCTTCTGAGCCATTTCGTCGCCACCTTCGATTTTCTGTTAGCGCGTTGAAAAAATATACGACATTTATACAATTTCCCTGCTCGAAATTCTGTCCGTCCCACCATATTCCTCTACTTCCCTTATTGCGAATGTGCATTGGATCGTATAATTTTCGAATAACCCTCGTCAATGGCTGCTACCGACGATTACCAAGCGTCGTGCATAAAACTGCAAATTGTACTCCTCTACATCCTTACATATTTGATATTTCTTTTCATATTTTGATCCAAATATTTATCCATATTTTCCGATTCTCTCTTTTATTGTGAATAAACGTGATTGTCGTTGTCACACAGTGAACATTTTGCATTTGTGTTCAAATCGATCTTTGACAAAATTTTTTAGTTGAAATTTTTAATTTGAATGTTAATTTAACATAATGTGACTGGGTTATTTAAATATTTTGTGTTAAATTGATATTTATTCAATATTTCTCGGTATTAAAATAACACAATTTGTCAGTAAGTGAACAAATAAAATACACACACACACACACACACACACACTTTTTGGTATACATATAATTTTTTTTAAAACCTAAATTCTAAGAAATAAAATATAAAATAGATTATACATGAGTGTAAGATACATTAATTTAACATATTATGAATGTTAATTTTATTAAAGAAATTTAGGGTAAAAGCAGAAAATATGAAATAGCGTTTTTTAATTATCATTGTTCCGATATAAATGCATACGAAAACTTTAAATTTACACAGAACTCTTGAGGAATATGTGAGTGACAACATCTAATAAATAAAAGTCGCCAAAATTTAAGTCTAACGTCAATATTATCGATTATTCTTTTCATTTTCGATTGTGATTGATCAATTTCTTAAGGCTTAAGGCTTACTCTATCATGTTTGCGGAGTAATGAAATAAATGAATTGATATAAAGAGGTAATTGCTTTTTAAAAATGATACGTAATTGACGTGATTGTATATTGCAAATTGCATAAATTTTGTTACCAAAACCAATACAAAAACAGGCAAAGTTCTTTGACACATTAATTCATGTTAATTATTATATAATTTCTTACAACAACAAAATAAATTGTAGCTAATATTACAACATTCTCTATAAAAATCTTACAAGTTTTAGAGAAGTCGGTGTGTTATAAGAATCAAATTTTGAATAGCCATTATTATCGTTATCGTTGTTAACTATTAGCATTATTGGCCATTTGTCCAATAGGCAATTAAATCGAAACTCGGATCAAGCAATCCTCACGGCGGAGTAGTAGAGTCAATTAACGTTGGAGTTAATTTGCCCCACTCCCGTCACTCGAAGGATCGCCACGCGAGACGTTTACATGTGTACCTTACTAGATATCCGCAATTACACTCCGCAGGTCCTACCAGGAAGGAGCAATCTCGCGCACGCGATCACAGGTTTCCTGTTTGCGGTCCATCCCATTCACAGTGAAGCTGTGGCTGGTATAGTCGGACGTGCCGACCTTCTTGCCTGTTTCCTGACCTTGACATCTTTCCTGACGTATTCAGCCCATTGTAATCGCACGAGACCGTCGTTTCCTTTGCTACTGGCCCTAGTGTCGTCGACGTTGGCCACCCTTGCCAAGGAAACGGGCATATCGTCCTTGGCTCTCTGCCTTCTGTGGGAGCTCTGTCGTGGCGAGCCAAGTCGAAAGGTAAGTAACACGATATTATTTAGTTTATCATTTTATATATCAGTATCGAGTTTTATATATCGGTATTATAGATATGCCAAATTAAATATTTAGGGCAAGAAATGAAAATAATTCGAGATTAATTTTAAATATAAAATTGTCTCTAGAAAAAGTTCAAAATTTTCTTCACTCTTCTTTTGAATCTTTTTAATATTCATATTCTGAGATATTCTGACATATACAACCGCAGACAGTAAAAACATTTTGTTGTATTTATGTTAAAATCAATTCTAGTTAAAATTTTGTGTTATTTGAAATTTTTAACTTATTTGAGTGTACATAATGTCATTGTGTTATTTGAACAGTTTATATTAAATTAATATTCAAAATTTATTGTTAGTGCTAAAATGACATAATTTATAGGTAAAGCTCGGATTAAAATTCTAAGATCGAGTCAATCATAGCTAGTTGTCCCCACTACCCTCACTTTCCCCTCATCCCCCATTGCCCGCGCCATGACGTCGTTGGCGCGTCGCTCCATCGCTCGCCATGGCTTCGGGCGAGTGGCAGTGCAGTGGGGAGAATCGTGAGGAACGATCAACTCGAATTGGTACGTCGATCGGCGAATAATCCGAGTTCTATTTATAAATAACATAAAAAATATAATGTAGTTTTAAATGCAAATTTCATTTATAATATGTTAAATTAACATGTACATTTTATTCATTTAATTTGAAATTTACGTTTTAAAGCATTATTTTCATTATTTTCATTTTGTGATACATAGTGTACACGTAACATAAAAATAATGTAGTTTTAAAACGTAAATTCCAAAATAAATGAATAAAATGTGCATGTTAATTTAACATATTATAAATGTTAATTTTACTGAAGAAATATGCTTTCCCAATTTGTTTCCAAATTGCATAAAAGTGTTACATTGTGTTATTTGTTATTTTTTAATATATTCATCTTGCGTAGAATTAACAATAATTTAGGTGAATCGTTTGATGAAATTTGAAAACATTTGATGTGTTAACATAAATTTTTCAATTGCACAGATTATCGCCATATTAATATACACAGTCTCGTATATTAGTATGGCAATAATCTGCACAGTTGAAAAATTTACGTTAACATATTGATGTATTAAAATAAATATCAAGAAAATTTTATATATATTCTTTGCTCGCTATAGTGATAATTATAATTATAATTATATAACGTAAACGCTCTTAATATATAATTGCACATATAAAAGATATGAAGTATAAGTACGCGAAGTTAAGAGTCAGAAAATGCAGTATTGATAAAGGTGTCTTTAGCTACACGGGACCGGAAACTTGATAAAACTATACCGGAACAAGATTTCGCGAATCGATATCAGTTTGCAGACGCGCCGCACGATTTCCGCGATTGCCACGCGCGAGAACACCGCGTCGTCGTTTATCCGCGCGTCTTGTTTCGTGAAGCGTGAAAGTTTCGACAGGGAAACAAGGCGGAAGACAGGCAGAACCCGCGTGCGCACGTACGAATTCGGGGAAGCGTGTAACCGATAACGCAGTGCCGTTGCAATGCGCTGCATCTTGTCTGCATTCTGGCGAAGACAGCAAACTGATGCACACACGGTAAACCACCCCTTTCTCCAGCCTCCGCGTTTAGGCGCCTACTGTCGTCACTCACACCCCATCTCCTCTATCCCTCGCAATCTCCAAAACCTCGTTCGCCATCTCCTTTTGCGCACGGTGCATCTGGATGCGCTGGATGCACCGGACGCCTCGCGTGATGCATGACGTGTTCCGACCGCGCCTCCGAGCCCCACAGCTTTTTCGTTCTTTCCGTTTGCTTCCCTTTTCCTCCATTTATATTTCTCTTCTTATTATACTTCTCTCTCATCCTCACGTTCGCGTCGTCGACAGCATCCCTCTGAGGCTCCCTCTTCCTCCCTCCCCTTCCCCGCCATGCTCAGATATTCTCCATCGTGTGTAAATTGTTTGCACTGTTTCCCATCATGAAAATCTGCAGTTTGTTATGATAGAGGATTAAAGTGCTAAGAGAAATTAGATTTTTAACATCTAAAGTTTCAAATTGTATATTTCTTACGTCGGGAATAGCGATTTTAAATAAATTTTTATAAATCTTTGTAATTTTTTAATTATACAAAATTCAATATAACGTACAATACATAATTTTTAAAAGAAGACTGTGATTTTTTTCGCACAAACGACAAGATCCAAAACAGAAATACCTCGCCGTTTTCGGAAACGAAAACATCACCGACGTTAACAATGATACTTACGCTTTCTCGATTACTGCTCGCTTTGTCCAGCCACGCAGAAATATGCATGAAACGGAAGCTGCATCGGAATCCGGAGAGACAAACGAGACGTGACGTTCGGCAGATGAGAACTAGAAGCGGGATAGACGCGGAAAGCGCGCGAAGAGCGGAAAGCGGAAATTTATTAAGTTACGATCGAACTGTCCGGAACGATCGCGAAGTAATTGGAAAAATCTGGTTTTCAGATTATCGATTCAGCGAGAGTATCGAACAGCCGGTTAGATATCTCCTCGTGAAATATCGCCGGGACGTTAAATCCGGCTCTGTGACATTTGTTTCCTTTTGGATGCTTCGTTGGCCGTTTTATCGGAGATAAAACAATATCGTCGCGAAACAGAAAATCCGCGATAAGTGATGGAATTACGGCAATTATGGCGCAACCTCGGTAATCTAAGCTAATTCCAGTATATATCCAAATGGGAGAACGTATTTGGATTATTGAAATTTAAATGCGCGATAACGGTTTTTTTAAGAAATAAAAGTTTTAACAGCGACGTTTAAATTTAATAAAAGCCAATGACGAGTTCATCATATTTAATACATTTTACGTATAAATTATACAAACATTCTTTCATAGATTTACATCAATCTGATTTACATCAATCCGAAATAAATAGTAGATGTAGAATAATAAAAGATTTTTTATCGGAAATTTTTCAGACATTTAAAAATGCTATCATTTATAGCGTGTAGTTGCTTAAAAAGAAATATGTTGCGTATTGGAAAATATATCACTTTTTAAACAGGTAACTATGTATTTCTTTATATCAATTGATTTGATCATTCTTATTCTGTACATAAAAGTATTAACTCTTCAACGGCACACGTCCATTTCATTTCTAACAATTCTTATTTCTCGTATACTTACGTAATTTTTACTTTTCCAAATTTTTTTTCCAATGTCTACATAATAGAATAATTAATTAGAAATCTAAAAGAATATGTGTGAATTTTTATAGAATATTTCGAACATTTTAAGAATGTATTAGAATCAATTAGAGTATCATCAGTTATTTTAATAAGTAGTATATATTTTTTATCTGTGCTCTGATAGAAATGTATTGAAATGTATTAGGAAATAAACGACAAAAATCTCAGTTTTTTCATATACGTTCTTTATGTATTTAAGATTATTTATGTAAAATTACATTGTGATGTTATGAACACAACTTTTATATGTATATATAGACTTCATTTAAAATATAAATATATTAACAATATTTGTAAAAATGATTCCCTACGAATCTCAAAATGGAATCGTATATAAATGACTCATGTGCACTTCTCTAAGATGCTGAAAATAAGTGTGCCGTTGCAGAGTTAACCTTTTAGCTGCAGCGAGATTAAACGCAGAGCGGTATCTTTGTATGGCGAGTTCTGCCACGGACTGCATAAAAACGACATTAAACACCGGTGTTTGATCCTTTTGACTATACATGTCGTCATTTACTACTTGTATTTATATCAAAATAAAATTATAATTGCTTATTTGTCTTTTCTTTTAAATTAATAATTAAATTATTTGTGCTTAAAGGTCTAGAACATAAACATTTCGTCAGCAAAAATATGTATGAAAAACTTGTATCATGTTAATTAAAAGTAGTCTATTTCTTTGAACGTAAAATGTATCAATAGCAATACCGAATCACATTTAATACCGATAGCGTATTCTATCGATCGATTTCGGAACACGACGAATAAATGAACATTTAATGCGCGTAATGTTACACTGTCTTCGCGAAACATACAGAGTACCTTATTGTACGTAATACGGATAATTGTCGCTGTCACAGAAAATCTTTATAGCAAAAGTTTTGGTCCGGAATTAGCGGTTACGGAGCCACTGGCGTCGAGCGGATACACAGCTCGTCGTAACCCGCTCGCATCGTCCGGAAAATTACATCTTACGGTTGTAACGAACTTGGCGGAAGTTTGCACGAAGCGCGACGTATCGTTCGTTTATTAAGGCGAGCTTTAAACTATTCACGGCCGTACCTCAACAAATCTTCCCGTGTAGTGTCTCTTCTCTTTTGCAACGCTCGAACTCGCGGCGCAAGAAACTTCAGAATAATACAAAATTGGAGAAAGGGAGAAGAGTGAGTCGAACAGGGAAAGGGTAATGCGAAGTAATAAGGCGTACCGAACGCAACGTGCAGTAAAATGCGCGCGCGCGCGCGACACTGTCCTTAAACACGACGACGTGACATTCAATTTCGCGTCAGCTAACTTTTTTAACGAACTTTGTGTGGCACACTTTGCGCCAGTTCTCATTCCAGTCGGAGATACCGAGACGAGTGTCTCGGCACACGGTGAAGAGCGTAATCGTGCTTAACGTGAATTATAAATTCACCGCAAACTATTATTTCAGTCTGATCCGACTGTCTGTGTAACTTTCGAATCGCGTTTCCAGCCGCGGTTACTGCGGACGGAAATTTCATTAAGACTCTTCGCGCGAATTTCGTACAGTTTAATATAATCTAATAATGTAATCTAGAGAACGTGTTCCCTGGAATATTTTTCATTTTGTCAAATCTTATAATGGCAAATTTCTGTTATCTAATGTATTACAAAAAATTATTTAAAAAATGCTTTGTACATATTACTTTCCACATTAATTTATATCGTGTCTATTATTTGTAGGTATTATTTTCATGTCCCACTTACTATGTCACTGATATGTCTATTATTTTCATATTTCCGTAATGCAAATACAGCATTGATAATAATATATTCACAGAAATGCAATTAGTACGGCCCAGATTGGCAAAGTTACTTCACTATAAATCAATGGACCACTTTAGTTACTTGCAGTCCGTCTTATGTCTCAGAATTAATTACAAATCACCTTTTCAAGATTTTCTTTTTGAATAATGAGATATTTGACTAATTGCATTATCTTTATATTCGTTTTTAAACAGTTAATTTTTAAATAATTATATTTTAATTATTTAAGAAAATATACTTCTGTTTTTGGAAAAGATGTAATATTTGAAATCTGTTTTACGTATTTGATGCATATTTCTTCTTTAAAAAAAATTTTTTTTAAGGCTAATGTAATCTAAAAGGCATGCTCTCGCTGTAATATTTTCCATTTTGTAAAATCGTTGTAATGACAAATCTCTATTATCTAATACATTACAAAAAAATACCGAATAAATATATCGATTATTATTAAATGACTAGTATGTAACTATTCAATATTTAAGCTCACTTTTTTTAACTTTCCAAAGTTGATGCCAAAATTTGTAACACAGTTATTCGGATTCTGGAATTGTAAGACTCATTTAATTTATGTTAATTAAAAGGCATTTAATGTCAAAGAATTAAAATGATATAAAATGATATTATAATATAAAAAAATAAATATGAAATTTTATTGAGAAAATTATTAAGAATAATGCAAAGAGTGTGCAGCTTTAATTAGACTGATGGTCATTAAGAATAATGTAAAGAGTGCAGAACTTAATTAGACTGATGGTCATTAAAATTGTAATATTATATTGCAATAATGATAACAACTAAAAATCTGCATATGAAATATTAGAGTAATAACTGTTTGTATTATTGTTTATGATGAGAAAATTAGTATATGAAAGAGAGCCTTCATTTAACTTTTATTATTTAATACTAGGACATCTTTTCAAAAAATCTAAAAAAAAAATGAATTTAACATTGAGAAGATGTTATGACTATAAAAATATAATGTTACTCACTTAATAAGTTCTGTGCAAAAATGTGAGAATATTATATTTTCAATTTTTAACATTAACGCGTATTTTTAAAAATTGAAATAATATATATATTTTGCTACATTCTTTGCAGAGGTAAAATAAAGAAAATTGAATTGTTGACACACATTTTTGACAGAGATTTAAAATGAAGTAGATCCAACTATGGAATAGACACATCGTCAGGTCCGGAGAGTTAATTGTTATAATTTTCTAATTAATTTTTTAAAATTTATCTTCATTATTTTCATTGGTCATATTACTGTTATATTTGGTTATTACGGTACGTAACAGTCCAATCAGGTAATTAAATTAATATTATTTTCACTTTATAAGATTTCGTTAAAAGTGGATGTTTCCAACGAAAGAACCTATTTTGCTATTCTTCAATAACATTTTGTTTGTTTACCGCAAACGATGAAGAGCATCGCGAAGCGTTTGTTATCCCTTCGCATTTCGTCAACACGAGCATTGTATAGTGAGATTCATCTTGTTCACCGATTCATCGAACAAACGATTTTCTCCTTTCCATCCGATCGAAATTACTTTCCGGTCGACTGGAATGTCGCGTTCACCGAGGCAAACAGCATCGCTGCAACAAGACTTTTGTGCTTCCAATTCGCCCCTTTTCTCTTTCTGCTTATTCATGAGAAAAAAAGATTACGAATGCATCATAACAATGCAAAGACAACGTATAGCCGATGAACTGACAACAGGAATACCGTCGCGCTGCGTTATTACAGTATCATATTTCCCGAGATACGTACCTTGTGATGCATTTCTACAATACTTTTTATTATTTCTGTATATGTATTGTACATATATCCGCAAGCAACACATGTGTCACGTGTGTCGACACAGAGTATGCGCTTGCATGCCATCTTGTAGTTACGTGTTTAAATCTATGACGCCATTCTCTTTATTACGGCAAAAAAGTGTGTTATAAACCAAGTCGCGTACCCATAAAAATCAGCAATCCATCTAGAAAACTATTCATAATTTCTTATATCGCATTCTCCTACAAGAAAAGACACATTTTTATGACACATTTAAAAAAATTAACATAATTATTTTTTCGTTATATTGGGATTATCATCTAAAAAGTATCCGCGGTTTTTTGTCACTAGATGTGTGTTGATGGTCATATATTTAATGACAAAGTACCGCGGATATTTTTTAGATGACCCAATATAATGTTATGTTACTTTTAAAAACTACTCCTGTTTTGATTAGTGGCTTACATTTTTCTCTTAAGCCTGATCTACATAAGAGAAACGCAAAACGCGAGTCGCATATCGCAAGCTTGTTGCGTCAACCAATCTCGAAGCGTCACTTTTAAAATTGACGCATCGGATTGGCTGACGCCACTCGCATTCTGCGTCTTATGTAAATCGGGCTTCATGTAATTCTTCTTTAGAAAGTATTCGTACGTATTCAACTTGTATCACTTTTCCTGATTAAAAACGGATATATTCAGAATACAATCCGTACACAATGAAATTCGAAAAATTTCGACTTATGTCATTTTTCTTGCGGGGGATATGTGTATTTTGTATGTTTATCAAATCATTATCCAGATGACAAATAACTACATAAGTGTGTTTAGTCATTTATTATATTACGCACTTTGCGATCGAACTTTTTTTTATCATTTTGTATTTTAGTTAAAATCTCTACAATAACTATCGAAACGTTCGATTTTAGCGTTAACATTGTAGTTACCAAAAAATGAAACAGCTTCTTATAAAATATATCGTACCGACACATACCGGCACTGTTACGTGCGACCTAAATTAACAAGACTCTTTGACCTAATTTAACTCCATACTCCAAACACAATGAACTACAAGTATGTAATGCCATACCTGTCGATCGTTGAATTTCAGGGCAACTGCAGCGTGTTCACTCGGGGTCGTAGTGTCGGAATTCTGTCGGGCGGTCTCGCGCTGCTCGCGCTGGGTCGGCTTAAGCTTGCCGGCAGCAGACCGGAATTCGCGAGCGCGGACAATCCGACGGCGAGGCATCCGTCGCGACTAACGCGCAGTCTGACGTTCCTATATCTCCCGGCGGCCAGCGCGAGAATGTTATTGTGTCCGAGCACGCTGAGCTTCGACTGGTCGATGGACGCCGTGCCGCGCATAACGAGCCCATTCGACCCACGGAATCTTGAGTCCGTATGTCTGTACGCCGTTCTAATTGGCGCGGCATTCTGGGCAGCTAGAGGTCTGCGACGACCCTGCCGGGACTCGACGATGGGCCTATTTCAACAAACGTACCCACGATCGGCGTCGTCCAGGTGTCCCGTGTGCGCCGGCAGACGCATCGGCGGTTGCCATACGGACGGCTGTCGGGCGGCGAACAACAATAACAACAGTCCGTTCGGCGATTGTCATTGTGCCAAGAGACCAAACAGCAATGCCGGCGTGAATGGTGTTAACGTCGGCAGCCGACAAACAGCGGCTACCGCCGTTGCCGTCTCCCTGGGCTTCCTTGTGCTTCCGTTCCTGCCGGCGAGCAATCTTTTCTTCTACGTGGGCTTCGTCATAGCCGAGAGGATACTGTACCTGCCCAGCGTGGGCGCCTGTTTGGCGGTCGGCGCCGCGGTATCCGGATGTTACCGGATAGCGAGAAGAAACGGGTCCAGAACACGCGGCAGAGTGGTGCTGTTGGGGACGGCGATTCTCATCGGCATGT